ACCAAAGCAGAATAGAGTGGCACTATGACTTCTCTTGATCTAGAGAAGACCTTGATCTAGAGAAGACCTTTGTCTACCCCTTACCTTCACCCTCCTTTTTATTTCCTTTTCCTCTGCTATTCTGGGACAAGATTAATGGAACAGTGTTGATTCTGCCAACATCCTGCCTCCATCTTCGAGCAATGCTGTTAATACTATTGTAGCATGAATACAAAATATGCTGCACAAAGCTAAGCTGATTAGGAGCTATTATGAAGCAATGGTGTCTTCAGTCACTTCAGTGCTTCGCGTTCGTTCTGGTGAAGGACATGGAGGTCACTGAGAAGAAGCGTATTCCAAGGTGGGCGACCTCAGAGATGAAGGGAGAGTCTCACCAGACTGGTTAAAAGAGGGATGAAATCAAAGGATCTACAGAATCATAAAGTTTGAAGAGACCCCCCATGGGCCATCCAGTTGAATGGGGGTTGAATCCCTGCCATGAAGGAAGACACAATGCAAGGACATCCAACAGATGGCCATCCAGCCTCTTTTAAAAAACCTTCAGAAAAGGAGACTTCACCATATTCCAAGGCAGCATCTTCCACTGTCAAACAGCTCTTACTATTAGGAAGCTCTTCCTAAGCAGCAGAAAAAAAAGCTTGCTCCACCATCAATATGACATCCCTTCAAATATTTAAGCATGGCCATCATGTCACCTCTTAACCTTCTCTTCTCCAGGTTAAACTTACCCAGCTCCCTAAGCCACTCTTCATAAAACTTGGTAGTTTCTAGACTTTCCATCATTTTGGTCACCTTCCTCTGGACATGCTTCAGCTTGTCCGCATCCTTCTTGAATTGTGGTACCCAGAACCAGGCAAAATATTCCAGGTGAGGTCCAACCAAAGCAGAATAGAGTGGTACTATGACTTTCCTTAATCTAGATGCTATACGCGTATTGATGATGCATCCCAGGATCCCCTTAGCTTTTCTAGCTGCCACAAGGCCACAAGTGGGCCACAATTGTGGGATGTGGCCTCCGGGACCTTCCCTTCAATTATCTACATACAAAAATCCTTTAAAACAGGTATACAGAACTTGGGATGCTCTTCTAAAATGCCAGCACTGCCACCTAACTTTCCTTTTTAATGAGATGTGGTTTTTGTAACGTATTCCTTTCAGGACGCCATGTTAGTAATGTTAATACTAACCCTGAGATGATATGTCAGGGTTGCATAGAGCTCAGCTCCACCTGTGCAGGTGAACCTGTTCCTGGAGATGTCCAATTTTGCTAAGGTGACACATGTCATGTTGATGTCCTCTTTGGATTACTGCAACATGCTGTTTTGTGAGTCTGCCTTTGGAAACTGTTCGGAGACGCTAATGGGTCCAGAATGGTCTGGGACTCCATGGTACCACCGAGACACAGTTTTATCACCTCAGTGTGAACTAGTCACAGTATGCTCCCTTCCTTAGGGCTATTAACGTTTAGGATCAGAGCTGAAGACCAGCAGTACTATAATGTGCCAACCGCTTCTGTTCCCAACTGGGCCTGTTCAAGTGCTTTTGGAAGTTTCAAAAGTAGGACCTGAAAGACTACCTGACTCTTCCATCTTCCATCCTTTAATCTGGTGCTCAGGAGTAGACTGGCTCTAAATGTGGAGGTTCCATTTAGGTATCATGGGCTAACAATAGCAGTGAAATGTCCAGTAGCCAGCAGGCTTCCTCTGCTTGGGGCTGTCCAGTGAAAAACAGGACCAGGCTTTTGTACCTTTAATGGTTACCCACAAGAGAGAATTTCATCAGGTATTGCTTATAGGATGGATTTGGTGATGGTGATGCTGCTTTTGCTCTGCATAAAGGATCTGTATTTGGAGAATGAGGTTGCTATAAGCATGAGACAACTGTCTTGCTATAGCAGGCCAATAACTCATGGCAGATGGTGCCATTCCTTCCCTTTTAGTATCTTTTTCTGTCAGCATTGGCTCTTTCTCTGGTGTAAGAGAGGAAAAAAGGAGAGAAAGAATAAGCACAAAACGATGGAGGGAGGGAAGAGAGAAAGGAGAGGAGAAAAAATGAAGGAGGGGTGGAAGGAAGGAAAAGAGAAAAAGGAAGAGGAAAAGGGATAGAAGTACAAGTGGGAAAAGAAAAAGGGTAGAAGACAGAAAAGAAGGAAGGAAGGAAAAGGGATGGAGGGAGAGTACTGTTTAAAAGAGGGAGGAGAGTGGAGGGAGAAAAAGAAAGGAAAAAGAAAAGGTGTTAGGAGGAAAAAGAGGGGAAAACACAAGAGGAAGGGGAATGGGTAGGGAGATAAAGAAAGAATGAAAAGGAAGAAGGAAGGAAGGGGTTGGGGAATTAATAGAGGGAGGGTTTACAGGAGGGAGGAGAGTGGAAGGAGGAAAAGAAAGGAAGAAGAAATTATGTTAGGAGGGAAAAGAGGAGAGAGAGGAAGGTGTGAAGGAAGGAAGGAAGGAAAAGGTTTAAAAGAGGTAAGGAAGTGGAGGGAGGGAGAAAAGGAAGGAAAGAAAATAAGAGAGGAGAGGAAAGAGGATGGAT